CCCCAAAACCCCAAAACCCCAAAACCCCAAAACCCCTTTGTAAATTATAAGATTGTGAAGATTCGGAACAAATATAATGCCGGAAAGCTCTTGTGTTGATGCTCTTAATTGTATATACATGTTGAAACCCCTTCTCAGGGTTACCAGAAGCATAAAGAAATTATACCAGATCAGTAGCACCTTGAAACAAGGAGTTTCAGACCACTAGACTTTGGACATTTGGTTGTTTCAGAGTTCATAAGCTTAAAAATAACAGGAGAAGATTTTCTGAATATGGTCATCTCCAATTCTAATGAGATCGTGGTGTAGCTGATAATTCCTAATTTCAGTTGAATCACCTGTACCAATTCAGAGGTAACTGAAAGCATCCAGAAAGCAGTCCTAATTTAAGTCTAAGGAGTCTGGATGGCATAATACGAAAGTTATAACTTCCCAAGCTGCTAGATCATGAGTTTCAAGACTACTGTCACTCTATTAACTTCAGTTTGAACACTTTGAGGAAGATTGAGTGCAAATTCTGAAGTTAACTTACTCAACAAAATAGCGGCTTAACTTACCTTTACCACAAAAATGTCGAGTTATTTTGAGGATTTATCCCAATCCTGAACAGCAACTAACGATTGAAGCTCTAAACGCCTGATCCTTGGAGAGTGATTACATCGTTAAGCATAAATGCTTTGGTCGGATGGTTAGGGTTTGATTAAAATCTCAGCTGCCTCATATCCACATCCAAATTTCGGCTATTCCAATGTAAGTTTACAGATTTTTTGAAAGCCATCCAAAGTTCTGAAAAAACACTTTAATGCAATATCTATAAAAAAAAAATTTATGAGTTGTCTTGGAACTCTATGCTTTGTTGCTACATGTGGAGACGATTGAAGGTTCTTTGCATCTCGGAAATATATAAAATGTGAAAACTCTAAAACGAGTTTAATCAAGTCCCATTAAGTTATCTTATGACTAACAAATATGACTCCTTTATTCAATAAACTAATTGATAAAGACTAGCTTATGTTCTGAGTAAACTCCAGTGCTTACTTCACGAGATGGGTGAAGTAATAGCTTCACTAAAAGCTCAAATTATTAGGTGTTTGGGGTCATTAACACTCTGAAGAGTACGGCCTTGAAACCTCTGCCTGAATCACCTACTAAGTGTTACCACAAGAGATGGCTAAATCAGAGAGTCGTGCAGAAAGTTTTTTCTATCTATCAGCATAGTTTAAAATCAGCTGCCAAGAAAATGTCATAATTTTATTACAAGAGCAATGAATTTGGGTAGACATTTTTAAGCATCAATATTTGGGCCACTGTCATTTTGGTACTCTAGAAAGCTGAAATCAGAACTAATTGGAGCGCTTCAAGCCTGAAAATAAAGCTCAGAATTATGAGAAGATTTTTACTTTCTGAAAATCTGTTAATTGATAATAGGGTAAGAATTCTCTAGCAGCAGTGAGTACTAGGCCCAACTCACTTGATAATTACTAGCAGAGGCTGTTCGTGATAAGAGAGATCAAGAGAATTGCTGGTTGGAGTCTCTTATCATACCACTAAAATGCAGTTATAATAGAAATACAATCGGGAATACTCCTGATGTCGATAATAATGAGGTTAAGAAGCTTTTCATAATTAAGGCACCTGAAAATAGGCAGAACATCAACCTCTAGCTTTGAAAATATTCTTAAAGTGATGATTAGTTCGAGAAATCAGCCAAAATTTCAACTTACTTTTACTAAAAATACTACTCGAACTTAATAAGGTTTATTAAGGGCAGCCCTTGCTTTCAATAAATTCCAATTTCGCCACCAAAGGAAAGATAAGATCACTAGATGAGTAATTTCTTTTTAAGCACGGCTTTAGAGTGAGGTATAAACCTCTTTACTCAACCTATATTTCCATTGAAGAGGCAATTGATATACTAATCCTGGTGAACTCTACCAAAATTACAGGCCTCAGTTTATCAAAGCTTTGTCTGTTTGCCCCTGGGCTTTAGATACACAAAGTTTTACTTTCTCTCGTCCTGAAGCCGCAAAAATTAGGGATTATAAAGCTTGAGGATGATTCGGGTTTTCCATTTTGGTGACGAGCCTTATCTTACCTTGGTCCACCTTATTTTTATCAGCCTCTTGAATCAAGTGCCAAGATCTCCAGGCCAACAGTAAGGACATGCGACCAATTAGAAATCTCTAGAGCTTTGGAGGTTGATAAGCTCGCTATATTAGTGATGATAACTTACTTTTTAATCATAGACGAATGGCTCTAATGAACATAATTTCTTTCCACATAGGGTTGATGAGAAATCAGAGTTCATTAGCCTGCAGTTATATCCCATCATGAGCGGCTCTAAATTAAATTTATACAACGAGAGGCTTCATACTAACCCTAGACTTGTGTTCAGCTACTTTATTATCAGATGGCTGAGTATCCTTCATAATTACAGTTTGGTTATTCATGGCAGCTTATAAATAGATATCTAAACATTTGTTGTTTTAAAAAGTTCCTGACTAATCTTAATTATTTTAATTATGAGGACAAATCAGGCTGCTTAGTTGCTTTCTACTATCTTGGAGGAGTCTCCTAATCAAAGAATTTTCATGCAATTTTCATAACAAAAGTAAAGATTTTATGAGTTAATTTACCCTTCATCGTAATTTCTTTAATGGCGATCACTGAAAAGTTGGAATTAATCCGAATAAGGTTAACCTTTTTATCCCACTTCTCAGACGTGTCTCGAAGAGCTCTCTTGGACCAAAATGGTTGCCCTAACAACTACAATTGATGGGGAGGTTTATCAGCTGAGCTTCAGCCTGAGAAAGAGGCTATAGTAATTTTTCTAACATATCTTGGTTAGAGTACCATCTATGATTTCTAAAAGTACAATAAATTTGTTGTTCTGGATTTCTCCGAATAACGAAAAGTAAAAGCCACTGAGATAACCAGATTTATCTGGTTTAGCCTGGCCCCTCCATTCTGGAAAGAGAGTTATGCCGAATTCGGTTACATATAATCTAATGAGGTCTGCTTCATAAATGGAGTTGATTATCCAAGTTATGCAATGAAGCAGAAATCTAAAGCTCTGTGTAGAGTTTGCTACGGAAGGAAATTGTCCTTGTCCCGTAGCTCATAGACTGAGGGATAGCCAGAGAATATGTGGAAATACATAAGTTCTTCAAACCTTCTTTTAATAATATAAGTCAAGAAATTTTTCAAAAATTTTCAAAATTTGGAAGGATTTAGGAAAAAGACCTCTTGTTGGCACTTTGGCTACGCCTGCAAACCAAAACATCTCTGGGACCTATTCCAGGAGGCTTCTCTTTGGAAGACTCCTGCTTTAAAGCCTCTGAGCAAAGTATTCTAATAATTAGTTATCATGCATTCGGACTCCGTAGCGGCCAAAGGACTAGTTTGTATTTAAAATATAGCATGAGCAAGGAAATATTTTTCCATGGTTCTTTGGCACAACATTTTCTAAAACCATGAAGCTTAGCATCTTCTAACCCTAGGTCGTATGCAGACCCTGATAGCTACTTAAAAGTTAAAACCTGTAAGAAGAATATATAATAATTAATAAAATGAAAATGAAAAAGAATAGAGAATTAGCTTTGGCTATTAAAGACCAAAGGCAGCCAGTAAGTGAGCTGTTTACTCTCAAGCCAACATTGCTAGCTCAAAGCTTTGCTATGAGCCTGGCCCAGTTAGAGCAAGCATATTGCATCTGTGGGTTAGAACTTCCAAGCTATAAGCAACAAGACAGCTCACCATCAATTGTGAATCAAATCAATCATCAAGAAGAAACTAAAGACAGTATACCAGACCCCAGATCCACTAGAGGTCGTAGAGCTCCCAGAGTCTCACCTGAGCACAGGACTGCCTTCCTCAGATCCAGATATGCCATCCTCCACAGACAACTCGATGCTGTTGATGACCCAGCCTGTACTATTGTGAGGGGGAGACGCAAAGTTGCCCGCTCTCTGAACAGACAAGCCAGCACCAGAAGGTCTCGCTTCACCGGAGTGTTCAAGAACCACGCGAAGTGGCAAGCCCTCATCGACATCTTTGACAGGAAGACCTACATCCACTCGTACACGACTGAGCAAGAGGCGGCCAGAGCCTACGACTTGATGTCGCTGGTGTTGAAGGGATTGGCTGGCCTCACCAACTTCGACTACTCGAAGAAAGAGGTGCTTGATTTGATCTCTAACCACCCAGGCATAATTGACAAGTTTTGCTCATAATCATTCAACACTCTGACACTATCTCGGGGTTTTGGGGTTTTGGGGTTTTGGGGTTTTGGGG